GAACAATTCATCTAAACGGTATCCGAAACATCTTTTGAGTGACCAATATTGTCCAATTCGTATCCGTTGGTTGTATTTTTGCTGTATTTCTTTATAAATTCCAGAGGCACTAACCTCTCATAAAAGCAACCTAGATCTTCATCTTGTATGTTTTTCGCTATCAATAATATTTTATCCCAACCTTGAATTTCTTCATCTGGAGTTCCTTTGTAAGTATTGTGATATTTTTTCTCAAATCTAGTCATAATATCCTTGTAATCACGAACCATTCCATCAGCGCTAGTGTATCCGTAGTTGGTACCCATCATATAATTCACTTTATTATTTACATTGATTACCATTTTGTCTAAAGTTTCTTTTCGTTTCAAGGAAATTTCTTTGAATGGTCTTTTTTCTATAAATTCTGGTATAAGGATTTCTTCAATTATTTCTCTGAATTTAGTTTTAAGTGGCATGTACGACACCATCATACAAACGAAAACTCCAGGAACCTCTACAATAAGCATTGCAAAGCCATCGGCTCCAAACAACAAGCATGCGGAGACTTGAATTAATACAAAACCTGCAAAAGCTTTCCACGGCAAATTTGATTTAAACCAGTTTGACATTGAATGTGTCCTTAAAGATAAAAAAGTTTGTGAGGAATTTTTTTGCTTTTTTAGCTAATTTACGTGCGAAATACTTCCTGAAATTCTGACAAAATCATATTTTTAATAATCGCTTCAAGATGTGATTGAAGTCAAATGTTGTTGGTTAAAATAAAGCAGGTAAAATAAAGATTCCTACCAGAATGAACGCTAATAATTTGTATTGATCAATTCTTCGTAAACCTAACGTGACAAGGCCCACTACAACATATACTGCTAACTCTCTCTATGGACGATAGAAACCAATCTTTGAGGGTCTGTTATCTATGAATTATGGAAGACACTTTTACCAACGTCTTATTATACTATTTCATTACCTTATCGTAGTCAATAGCTAGTCCCTATACGCCCATGTCCCCTAGTTTCTGGATATAAAATTTAATGCACTATTCAAGCCACAGAATACTTTTATGGGAAAACTTCCTGTAATCCAAGGTACCATGCTGCGATAAATAGATATATGTATATATAATATGTTTTGTTCTGAAATATAAAGAGGCATATGGACCGTCGTTGGAAAATTATACTTTTGTTGTTATTCTATATTATACTAGCTGAATATAAACCAAATTCTAAAATTCCCTTCTTGCTTGACTTGAGTATTAGAGTAATTTACTCTATATTACGTATAGAAATGACATTTGACCGAGTCCGAAACATTTCCCATACCTTTAATCCACTTAGGATTTCACAGTTTTATGATGTCCTGTTTTGGCTCAACTGATTTCTTGAAAGGATATCTTGTCGTTCATTGATGATATTATTATTAGAGTTATTTTCCCGCTTGCAGTATTTTTGTATCAAGTCAGGCGAATAAGCATTGTTTATTGCATACTCTATATCTTCATCTGCCATGTTCTTAGCCGCTAACATAAATTTATCCCAACCTTTAATTTCTTCGTCGGGTACTTCAGCATACAACTTGTCAAGTTGGCGTTTAAACTTGTCCATACACTCATTATATTGTATAACCAAATCGATTGTATTCGTAAATGAATAATCTGTCTTTAATTTTAAGTTGACAGAATTGTTAACATTAGCTAAAATTTCCTCTAAGATCACTTCTTTCCTTGCAGTATTGAATTCTCTAAAAGGTCGCTTATCCATAAACTCTGGTATAATTATATTTCTAATAACCGCATCATAGTGATAATTAAGACGAATGTGAGTGATTAAAATAAAAAGCGAGAAAAAAAGAACTCCTACCATAACAAACGCTATGAATCCGTAGTCATCAACTCCTCTTGTACCTAATGTGACAAGTCCAACTACGCCATATACTGCTAACGCTTTCCATGGAATATTCGATAGAAACCAATGGCCCATTTTCCTTAGTAATAGATTGAATGGAGAAGGGGGAGGAAACTTTTTTGGGCTTTATTTTTAACTTGGTACGATGGCCAGGCTTAAAATAGTAACGAAATCATGCAGGATTGACAGAGAGCCGCATATGACAACTTTTCATATACGAAGGTCAAAGAAGTCTGCGATTATCATACGATTAGAATATTCTACTAAGCCAATAAGATTCTATTATGGAAAATACTACCTTAAGTTAAAGTGATTGTCTGGCTCGTATTTTCAGGTTTTGATACAATAGGTTTTCTATATGTTTAACCAATTCCAGAAAAACAGCATTTACATTAGCAAAGTTCAGATGAATAATAAAAGATATAACTATAAACTTCTAAACATATAATAATTATATATATGCCGTAGTCTAACTAAAAAAACATGGGCCGGCGGCTACGGTTTTCTTGATTGTATTAGTATATTAATTAATACGTAAAAATATTGGAATCAATCGTAAGAAATATTAGAATCGAAAATTTACAAATATATATTCAAGACAAAAAGAAACTCGAGATCGAAAAGAAAAAGTTTCTATGTAATTGAAATTTATAAAAAAAGTGTTCCAAAACTGGTCGTATATATCTACGAAAGCAATATTGGTATATGGGTAATTTGTTGCTACTTCAAAGTGAACTTTATCAATTTCACTAAAACAACATTTGTCTATGAATTCTAGAATAAATTGATATTGGTTACATTAAGTCCAACATTTTCTTGAACGATATCCATTGCGATACTGTAACGCTTTAATGAAGGACCTCTAAACATAGTGAAGATTACGAATGAATTGCTCTCGGAAGTCGTTTCGTTTCTTCAATCTTCAGTTATACATTATAAATCGAGCAAGTCTTCTTTAAGCCCGATTCTGATTTGATTCGTTCCATATACGGTTTTCTAAAATCCAAGTAATATCTCTGTTATTTAGGACGAAGCTATTTTAAGGGGGTATTGTAGCTTCTGATAAAACCTTTGCGTTATATTACCCTTCCCTTCAGATAATATTGAATCAAATTATTTAGGCAACTATTTATTTAATACCGTCTATATATGTTGTGATATAACTAATGTCGGATGATACTTCATCTTTGGTATGCCACACTAAGATTAGAATAATTGTTTATCAACTCATTTATCTAATTTATCTAAATTTCCCTGATCGTACCATAAATTTGTATGAGTTCAGGCGAAAATTCTTGTCTCATAACATATTCAACATCTTCATTTTCTATGTTTCTCACCACTAACATGATTTTATCCCAGCTTTGAATCTCTCCAACGGGTATATCTTTGTAATACTCTAAAATATTTCTTTTCAAATTGTGACATCAATTATTCCATCGAGTATATGATTATAAAATTCAAGGGTTATAGCGTAATAAAGAACTATAACAATTATACCAAAAAATATACCAAGAACCAGTGGTGCATACCCCAATAAACAAGAAACATATACAGTTGTTAAATAAACTCCTTAAAATTGTTAGCAGAGGACAACAAAAGCCAAAAACGATCCAGAGGCTTCAAAAAAATTATCATCTTCTGAGTATTTGAAGGTATACACAATTGGTGACTATTTCTATACCTCTTTTCAATGTCACAAATGATGAAATCCTTCCTCTACTTTCCCCTTCTCAAACCATGTCCAAATCGCCTCAGCAAAATATTCAGGTGCTTGCCTATTCCAGGGATGCCTCATAAGAGGATGGACCACGGCAACAGTTTTATCGTTCATGACCTTTCCAATATCCGCCAACTTTTTCGCATCTTCGGGATGGTCTGCGGAAGGAAGAAACCAGTTTTTTTTTCCTGCAGCTACAACCATTGTACGTGACGGCCACGGTATCGGCGGCCAGGAATCCACACCAGATAGACAACGAATTATCTCTCTGCATACAGCTATACTACTACCGTTAGTACCAGATCGCAGCTCCTGTTGTACATCAGCACCATCCATAGCCCATCTAATTAAACTGGTGGGAACGAGTCTTTCAATCTTATTTATCGCCCATAACCCATAGGGCGCTATTCCAGCTGGGTCTAGGTTCGGATAGACTTCATATCCCGATACAAACACCGCGTCGTTCACAACGTCAGGATATAAAGACGCCACACTAATAGCAATGATAGCTCCCAAGCTTAGACCAACAATTTTTGCCTTTCCATTGATGGCAACTTTACGTATGAGATGAGCCAAGAGAGCCGAAGATTCTCGTATGGAAAACAACTGTCGAGTTCTACCAGCCGCTACATCGGCTGATACACTTTCTCCATAACATGAGAAATCTGGGATAACCAAGTGATATTTGCCCTTAGCTAAAAGGAATGGCAATACAAGGTCCCATTCACTCTTTGAAGTAAATGTACTTGGCACGAGAAGGATACTTTCTAAGTCCTCTTTTTTATGTATAAATGAAGGATACAGTGAAGTATGAGGTAATAAATATAAGTCTACTTGATGTCGTGTTGCCATATTGCTAGCAGGACGACTATAATCTTCAATTTACACACAACGAATTAGATGGGGACTTGTTTTTAATTGGGGAAATAAATACTAGCAAAGTGTTTGATGAGCAAAAACATGGTCAGTTGTTTAAGTAATATCCCAGTCTGTCAACTAGGCCCATCTGCAGTCCCCAATTAAGGCCTAAATTCTACGTTCGATAGAACTGTCTCCTCAATTGGTTGATCGAAGCGCATTATTAAATCAAAAGACGCAAGTCAACGCATATCAATGCCGGCATTACTGTATGCAGATGGATAAGGATATCTTTATGCGACTTCTGCTCTCGGAGATAGATCCTTCCCAATTACGGAATCCTCAAAGAACCAGCTGTTTTAATGCCAGTGAAGATGCGTTTTCATAATGTATTCTTATCTGCATCGTTTGTACGAAATTCAAACTATATTAATCGAAAATGCATATAAAGTATTACAGAAGCAGCATCTCACTATATGAAATATTGAGTAGTGTCAGACTAATGCCGTTACGTAATTATGGTGCTGTTAAGATCTATTTAATTGGTTTCTATCACGTTATTTGTTTGAATGTCTGGATTCCAAACTCTGATAAAATAAACTAAGAGTGTCGATTTGCATCTTTCAGGCAAGCTCGTATGAATTGTTCTTGTTAACGGTTTCTTCCATCAAAGTATAATATCTTTAGGTGCGATGAATGGCTTCCTTGTCCTTGTACTATGCTTGTTAATTAAATCTGGAGAGGCTAATTATATAAGCAAAATTTAGATCATCATCTTGGAGGTTCTAGGCCACCAA